GAGCTGAATCGTTCTCGACATGTGACCAGAGCACACCGTACCTGCTTTTTGACGAGTCAGCATATTGTGTACAAGGCATGCGAAATTACGTACACATCCATGTGTATGATGGTGTGATATATATATAAGTATGTGGGTATCCATTTTCCTATTTTGTGTGCATTTGAACCCGTGTTTTATATCTGTGATACCATGGTGTTCGTCGCCTGTAGAATTAGAGTCAAACTGATGATCGCATTTCTATTTTGATTTTTTCTCTTTGTATAATGATGTGTAGTGAGGCCTCTTCGAGCGGAGAATTTGAACGCCTGTTTCTGGCCAGAAATAGGCGGGACTTAGCTCAAGAATAGGCGCTTCGGGCTTCCCCCCACGAACCAGCCACACAAGCCCAAGGCAACAGGCCACTGATGCTGAGAGTCGAGATCAGGTCAGCCAAATCCACGTGGATGTAAATGCCCCACGTCACCTGCACCTGAACGTAAGGCTGGACGGATCAAAAGTGCGGCCAGGAGGACTTTGTAACCCGTTTCGTAAGTCGTCACTCAGCCAATGAATGCCCAGTTTCCCTCTCGCGCGCAGCGCCACACTTTCGCGATTCATGTGTGGTATCGTCCCTTGGCCAGCCTCAGGGATCTCCCTGTATCTCTCGCTGCCCTGGGCACATTTATTGCCACTGGCTGCTTCTTCCATTCAGTCACACCCCTCCCTCGCTCATCATCGATCTTTGCTGCCTCAACGAGGATAGCAAAGACGTTCCAAGTAGGTACCACGGGCTTGTGCGCCAGCTGAACCAAGATATCATCGCTATGGCGCTGTCCTCCCTTCACGCGGGGACTGGCCTGCGTAGCCACGCCATAATGCCACTGCCGACTCCGTCTCTCCACAATCCGCACGTAACCGCGCCGTACGTCGGCCTCCGCCGCATCCCACTCGCTGCGCGACACGGCGTCGCGCCCGCGCGCGCCAGCGCGTCACGCCAGCCAGCGTCTTCACGGCCGGTGCGAGCAAGCGGAAGCAGCGAGGAGCGTGGGCGAGACGGCACGTGGCTGATGCGAGGGGCAGCCGCTGCGGGGTTGGCGTGCGTGCTGGCGCTGAGTGACCCGTTCAGCGGCAGCGGCGGCATGGCGCTCGCGGCTGACACGCTCAAGACGTGCACGTGCCTGTTGGGCCAGTGCAGGTGAGCCGTCGAGAGAGCGCCGATGAATGTGAGGAAATGCCATGGGATTCGAGTCTAGGGTCGACAGCGCGGGCGGTAGAATCAAGTAACGACGGCAGACCTTGTGATTTGTTCTCCCAACTCTATTTTTCACAATTTCAAAACACGGGTAAATTATCATGAATAATTTCAGGTGAACATTTACAGTTCTTAGTCTTACGTGTGCAAAGAGTCCCTATCGCGTTAATTGCGAACACATACGGCAGCCCTCCTTGATTATTTCCACGTCGCATGCAACGTCTAGATATTTTCCCGCTCCCGCGAGTGAGCGAGTGTTTGTGCGCTAATAACTGCCACGTTTTCTACTCCCGGTCACGCCGTGTCCTCTGCCACTTTCTTCCGCTCCTCTCCAACCCCTCCTCCGTTTCCCCTGTCTCTCCTCCCCTTCACCCCCCGTACCCGCACCCATGCAGAACGGAGCTGCTGCAGTGTCTGGGCGACGTGAAGTGCGCGGCGAACATCGCGTGCCTGCAGTCGTGCAACGGGCGGCCGGACGAGACGGAGTGCCAGATCGGGTGCGGAGACCTCTTCGAGAACCAGGTCGTCGACCGCTTCAACGCCTGCGCCATCACCAAGTCCGGCTGCGTCCCGCAAAAGGCGGACGAGAACCTCTTTCCGCTCCCGCCGGACGAAGCGCTGGTGCCGGAATTCGACGTGGGAAAGCTGGACGGCCCGTGGTTCATCTCGAGCGGACTGAACCCCACGTTCGACACGTACGACTGCCAGCTGCACACGTTCCAGCCCACGGGCGAGGGGCAGTTCCGCGTGGACATCACGTGGCGCATCAACACGCCCGACGGCGGGTTCTTCACGCGCTCCGCGCTGCAGGACTTCGTGCAGGACCCCGTGCGACCCGGCGTGCTGCTGAACCACGACAACGAGTTCCTGCACTACCAGGACGACTGGTGAGTTGGTGGGGAAGGGGGGCTGGCGGGGGATGGGGAAAGTGGGAAGAGGTGGGGATGGGGAGGGGGGACGGGAAGGGGTAAGTGAGTGACGGGGAGATTGGGAATTGGAAGAACGTTTTTTTGCAGCACTAGACTGGTGAGTGGATGGGGGGGGGGGGGGAAGAGGGGATGGCTGTTGCCAGGGAAGGGGCAAGTAAAGGGGAGAAATAGGTCATCGTATAGTCGGAAGATTTGACGGAGGGTAGGGTAAATTTTATCGATAGAACATATTGTGTCCATATTAGGACAACTTAGGTCCTACCCATGTAGGTAAGTCGGTTGGGAGCATCGGCTAATGGGGAAAGGTCAGAGAGTCTTCATTATGTACAAGCAGCCACATGTTTTCCAAATGCAAGATTGCTTTGATGTTGTTCTCTGTGATCTGGTGCAATGTAAACTCTCTAACGTGGTCAAATGGTTGTGTTGCAGGTTCATCATCTCGTCCAACATCAGTGGCACCAAGGACGACTACTTCTTTGTCTACTACCGCGGCAGCAACGACGCGTGGGACGGGTACGGTGGCGCAGTGCTGTACACTCGCAGCCGCACTATCCCACCGCGCATTATCCCGGAGCTGGAGCGATCTGCACAGTCCGTGGGCCTCAACTTCGCAGACTTCATCACCACAGATAACACGTGCCCTGCGGAGCAGCCCCTGTTTGCACGGCTGGAAAAGAAGGTGGAGGCGGTGGAGAGGGCACTGGTGGCTGACGTGTTGCAGTTTGAGGAGAAGGTGGTGCAGGCAGAGAAGGCAGTGGTGGCAGAGGTGATCCAGCTAGAGGAGAAGGTGGTGGAAGCAGGCAAGGATGAATTGAAGCTATTTGAGGGCCTCAGAAGAGGGTTTGCAGAGCTGTTCAAGGATGAGCAGAACTTTGTGAAGGGGTTGAGGAAGGAGGACAGGGAGGTGTTGGAGCAGATGGAGGCGATGCAAATGGGAGACCCTGAGGACTTGGAAGACCTTTTCAGCAACCCGTTGCCGCTGCGTAAAATCAGGCCCCCATCGTAGGGCCTTACCTTGCATTCAATAATGCATCCAGTTTGTATTGTTTGATGTATGTGCATGCTGTGTGTGACAAAGTATGGTTTTTCTTCCTTGGTAGCAGATGAAGTACCGTATTCTCCCGGACATAACACCCTAGGGTATAGCTAAAAATACAGGGAAAAAATGGGGGGGGTCTCCTCATAGGAAAAAAATACATAATACCCGGGTCTTTACATATGGCATATCTTAGTGTTAGTGTTTTTTTAATTAGTCAATGTGGGTGTTTTGCTGGTCGTTTTAGCATCACTGCCTGAGGCGCGAATGTGAGTTTCGGCCTCGAACTTCATCGCCCCCACGAAAATGGCATGTGGCACCTCTCTTGCCACTTGCAACGGAAGATTCACCTGCACGTGGCGACAGAGAAATAGTGGGAGGGGGCAAATCTCGGCAGATTGCCTTTGAATGTACCGCGAAATTTCATTGAGGGAGAAATTCACACGACATTCTTCCGTATTGCAGCTACTCGTTAACGACTATAATAATGAATCCGTAAGAAAAGGGGGGGTGTTATAGAAAATCAGCCAAAAAGGGGGATATAGTAGAAACGAGGTCTATCATAACACCCACCCCGCACAAGCTACCCGGGGGTGTACAATTATGGGGGGGTGTTTTGTCCGGGAGTATACGGTATTGTAGCGTGCAGGCGTGTTGCTGAGTGATTTCTGTTACATTTGAGCTGTCAATCAAATGGTTTTTGTATAATTTCCGTGCAAGTACTATTCCAATGTTGGCTGGTATTAGCTACCATGGACAATCAAGGTTGCGAGAAATTGTCAATAACAAAGAGGGTGGTTACAATGCATGTCATGCACTAGGAAGAAACCATGGCAATATGTAGTGAGGGTGCCCAGCTAGACGGAGGCCTCGGAAGTCTAGGTTCGCCACGGGTCTGAGTGCACCAAGTCTGAAAGAGACGTGAGGGAGCCTAGCATGGCGAGGCGAGGCCTTAGGACCAAGAATGGTCTGCCTAAAGGTTGGGGTTGTAAGGGATGTATCTTAAACCCAGTAAGGAATGGATAATCCATACAGGTGTTTTGGAAATACACTATTAGTGATCGCATTTTCCGAAAGCGAAACCTGAGACATGTTGCGTGCATGGGTCCAAGGTGCAAGCGACGATTGGCCTAGAAATTCCCAGATTCAAGTTGCAGAGCAACACGGGCGTTGTGAAATGTGTATGGTGTTGCCCGGATTCTCAGGCCGCATTCCGAATGTTGCGAACAAAACACTTCGTAACACACGACCATTCTACGACTCTCAACGACGTTTCACGACAACCTGCGAACAAACTTCTGAACACTTTGCCCTAACGGTTGGCACCCAACACGAATGTTTGCGACGTCAGCAAAATGCTCGACAGCAATTTGATCATCAGACGAATTTGATGACGAGGCATTTGCGACTTCGCAAACGAAGCAGATTTTCCCGCATCCAAACTTCGGGAATGTGCGACAGCTCAGCTTGTTCAGTTGTCAGTCCTTGTTACGAGTCTTGGAATGCTATCTATCTCATAGCTGATTCATGTTTCGGTTCACCTCGTGTGCACAGCATAATCGTCGTTTCTATCCTTACGCGACCGCGACCATCTAAACTTTGACGTTTACTTCATCGTAAGCTTATGATCGCTCCACATTCTCAATTCTCGTCTTGCGTATACAACAAATCTAAGCCTCAAAATTCACTGTCAGCGTCGTTTTCCCCAGCAATCCAACCGTTTTCGGGGAGACAGGAAGATTTTCAAGGTAACGGTTCTGGATAAGAAAATACGGATTCGATACGATCTGATCCGCCAGCCATGGCGCCAGTCCCAGTGGACCACACGAGAGTGGACTTGCCGGAGCACGCCACGGCTCACGCGCTCCGCCTTGACGTCGGGCAAGACGACGCTACCGCCTCCCTCCTCACCCTTCCTCAATGCCAAGGAGCCGACACCGCGGCACCTCATAGCGAGTACGTTCTGCTGCACGAGCGCGAGGCGGCGGTGGAGCGCGGAGCGGCGTCGTGGGTGGGGGAGGCAGCGGCGCAATGCAGCGTGGGGTTGCCGGTGGCGGGCACGATGGCCGTGAACAGCTTCATGCAGCTGCTGTGCCTCGCGTTCGTGGGGCACCTAGGCACGCAGGAGCTCGCGTGTTCTTCCATCGCCACCGCGCTCGCGAACGTCACTGGCTTCTCGCTGCTGGTAACCCCATCCACGCCTAGAACAGGAATCTGTTTTAAAAAAATCAAACATTATTTTTCGAATTTAGGGGGAAAGGGAGGAAATTGGGGGTGGAAGATGTGGGGAGGGGGGAGGGGGAAGGGGAGGCTCACTATGCATACACGCGTGGCCTGCAGCAGTCCCATTCCGCCGCCCCTACTCGTCTTCCCCGCACACATCCCCCCCCTTCCCCTCCCCCCCTTTTTCCCGCCCCTTACCGTTTTCGCCCACCCAACCGCCCCCCACTTCACCCGCTATGTATCGTTTGGCTCGAATCTAATCTCCCTCTTCCCTTTGCCCCACCCGTCCATGCTGCCGCCCCCACCCGTCCATTCTTCCTCCCCCCACCCGTCCACGTTGCTCCCCCCACCCACGTTTGCGGGCACGCAAACTGCTCTTGGGACCTAGCATGTTCTCTTCAAATCTCAAGTTTCCCTCTCCCGCCCACTGCACTTGTTCCACCCGTCCACGCTTCCCCCCACCGCGTCCACGCGTCCACCAGGAAGGGCTGGCGAGCGCGATGGAGACAGTGTGCGGGCAGGCATACGGAGCAGGGGACCTGGCGAACCTGGGGACCATGCTGCAGCGCGTGCACCTCATTCTCACCCTCGCCTGCCTCCCCATCTCCGCCTGCTGGCTCGCCACGCGACCGCTGCTGCTCTTCACAGGCCAGGTGCGCTGTCTTTGTTTTGGCCGCCCAATGAGAGGTGATACTTTTGAGTGGAATATTGAGTCGAGTTCTAAGGTTTGGGACTTTTTTGAGGCGCCTCCAAGGAAAGTTGGCTCGCTACAGAACTGCTGCTGCGGCGTCGCAGATGTAATGCTGGTTACAACAATGTGGTTCAGCCCTTGATGTTACGTAGCAGTAAGGAACTCCTGGCGTTGCTTTCCCTCCTTACCCTCTCCCTCCCCTTACTAATGCCCTCGTAACACCCCACACCTCGCCGGCCACCCTACTAGGACCACGCCATAGCGAGCGGGGCAGCGCTGTACATCGCATGGGAGATCCCGGGCCTCGTGGCGTCCGCCGCGTTTCTGCCCATCACCAAGTTCATGCAGGTCAGCTGCTTATGACCATCACACAAGGACTTTTGTTCCGAGGTCGGGTTTTCGAGAAATGAGCGAAATTATAAGCGCTGTCGGTGAAATCGCTAGATTGAAGTAGGAATTTGTGCATGAAGCCCACCTCCAGTTCGACACCATGGCGTTTGTGCTCTGTGTTAGCATCTACTCTATCTACTTCTGTCTAGTAATGTATTATACGGGGGTTGGGATACAAGCAGGCGTAGCTTCCATCGATGTTGCCTGTCAGGCGGCTTGTGCACCTCCTAGTGTTGCCTGCATTGAGCTACATTCCCACTCAGACTTTCCTCTTTTTTTTTTCTTCTTGCATATGTCACACCTTTTTCTTTCACTCCCTTCCTTATTCCAACCCTCCTTTTTTTCCGCGCCCTCCCTTTTCCCCTCCTCTCCCTCGGCATGCATTCTCCATATCCCCAGGTGCAAGGCGTGACCCTGCCCCTCACACTCATCTCGCTGGTCGCGCTGCTCTTCCTCTCGCTCGCCTCCTACCTCTTCATCCACACGTTCGCCCTCGGCTTCACAGGAGCCGCCATGGCCCTCTCGCTCACGCTGCTCTTCCAGCTGCTCCTCGCCCTGCTCTACCTCGCTCTGCTAGACAGCTCCCATCAACTGCTCTCGCGCTGCTGGCGCGGCTGGTCGCTCGCCCTCTGCTTCTCCGGCTGGTGGCCCTACCTCACTGTGGCCGTGCCCTCCTGTGCCATGATATGGTGAGGCGTCACGTGCTTCTGGAGAGGCGTTTTTTAGAAGCCTTGGAAAGGCTTGCAAAATACCATGATATATAAGGCAACTTGCAAGAATTGCTCAGCGATGACTCGCCGTGCCGTCCTGAGTGATGTCATGGTGGGGATTAAGGAGTGGGCCCTGGAGTGGGCCTGTCATCTTCGGCCCACTCGTCTCATTCCGTGACCCGCTCCTTGTATTACCCCCCCTCTTCCCCCCGTGTTGGCACGGCAGTCTGGAGTGGTGGTTCTTTGAGATCGTCACGCTTGTCTCCGGCCTGCTGCCCAACCCTGCTGTCAACGTCGCAGCCATGACCATAAGGTGCGCTCACGAGGCACCCATGGCCATAAGGTTGCAGTGATGTGGACCCAGCCATGCCATGCTGCCCACTCTATGCCACCAGGTGTTCCTCACCAAGCCTTGGCTTGTCCTCACCAAACCTTGGCTTGGCCTCACCAAACCTTGGCTTGTCCTCACCAAACCTTGGCTTGTCCTCACCAAACCTTGGGTTGTCCTCACCAAACCTTGGCTTGTCCTCACCAAACCTTGGCTTGGCCTCACCAAACCTTGGCATGTCAGGTGCTGTAGCTGATTGAGCACTGACGTGTGGTGATTCAGACGGCCTGGTAGTCAGCCTGACCAGGTTCTTCTGAACCTCAAAACCTGGACCCTTGAGGTTATGTCACAGTGTCCTCTGGGCTGAACTTATCTTCTGTGCTTCATACTATACACACTCCTTTCTGGACGGCCCTTCTTCACCGTAAGCATTCAGGCCTCAACGTCCTTTCTTCCTGCATGCCATGCCATCCTCTCCTTTCCCCCCTTTTTCTCCCCCTCCCCCCCACCTCCATCCTTCCGTGTGCAGTCTGCAGACTGCTGGGTTCTGCTTCATGTTCTCCCTCGCCTTTGGCATCGCTGCCAGGTGCGCTCACCTCTCATGCCACTCCACCACTTCACGCCGCTTTACACCACTTCACCCCACGCCACAACTTGCATTCATCCTTCAACCTTCAACCTTACGTGCTTTCCGGATTTTTTATTTACGTGCTTTTTGAGAGCTTATGTTCTCCCAGGGCTGTCAGCTGATCAGCAGCTAGCGTATCACAATAACCCACATCTTGAACACTTCATTCTGTATCCACTCACCTGCCCTTCCCCAATTTTCTGCACCACGCCTCCCCTTACCCCGTCTGCATACGTGAACAAGCAGCCAGGAGCAGAGAGCACAGTGGCAGCACGATCCTCTGAGTTGCGGCTCAGTAGTTTGTTCCCTCCTCTCCCCACCACCCCGCCCCCCTCACCCCTGCGCCCCCCTCTCTGCAGTGTGCGTGTGAGCAACGCGTTGGGAGCAAAGAGCCCAGCAGCAGCACGGCGGGCGGTGGGTGTGGCGATGGGCATATCGGTGCTGCTGTCAGCGCTCATAGCATTCTTCCTGCTCTTCATCCGCGACTTCCTCATCCTCTTCTTCACTGGTGCCTCTGCTCCCGACGTGGCTGCCCTCGTGCGCACGCTCATGCCCTTTCTCATTGTGTCCCAGCCGGGCCTCTGCCTCCCAACAATCCTCTCAGGTACAATCATCTACCCCACCCCACTGCCTCTCCACTGCATTTTTCTCGCTTACTGCTTCAGTGTCTGATTGTGCTGCATTCTCCCTCCTCCTCCCTCCCCTTCCTCCCCTCGCCATGCTGTGCTGTGCAGCGCCATGCAGAGACATTTCAGAAACTTTTTTTGCATCCCACCCCCTTCCTCCCCTGCCCACCTGCCCTTCCCGCACACCAGGAGTGCTGCGGGGGTCAGGGCAGCAGGCAGTGGGCACGGGGGTGAACGGCTTCACCTTCTATGCCATCGCGCTGCCCCTCGCCTACGCCCTCGCCTTCTACCCTTTCCACCTCGGCGTTTCCGTAAGTTGCTGCTTGCACTGGCACACACATGCACGCACGTGCATACACACACACGCACACACGCAGGGAAATCTTTTGCCTGCCTTTTGGTGGTGCGCTTACGTCCTTGCATGTGAGGAAGACACAGTCAGCTCATGCTCTTCAATCGCGCCACATCAACTCCACAGACCCACATTCGCACTCTTATCTCTTCCTAACCAGGTTCATGGGGGTCCTTATTCAGTATTCTCTGGCGTGTCTCCCCATATGACCACCCCCAGGGGCTCTGGCTATCCATAATTGTGGGGGAGGCAATCCAAACCGCCATCTTTGGGTACTACGTGGCCACCACTGATTGGTCTGCACAGGTATGCTGCTCGTAGCTCTCTGCGAGTCGTCCGTTAATGGTTGCTGCTTCCCTCCCTGCTCCCATCCTGCTCCTTCCACCCCCCGCCCCTCCGGCTCACGTCCTGCCGCACTTGCATTGTGTTATCTTGTTGACTCCGTGCAGGTGGAGCATGCAGAAAAACGAGTAGAGGCCAACAGATGATTGTGACCTCAGGGCGGATGTATATACTACATGCTATTGTAAAAAAAGAATAGTAGAAAGGAAATGAGGCAGTGGTTAACAAAGCTGTGAATGTGTAGAAGCGAATTGCTAGTTGGTCAGTCAAAGCATGCTGGTGAGGTATATATGCAGCATCTATCAGGTTAATCTCCGTAAGGAGCTTAGTTTAACGCGGGCGTGCATATCTAGGAAATCGGACATCTCTCATGTTGTTGCGGAAACTTCTGTCAGTGCCATAATCAGGTACCCGTTGAGGTGTTTTACTCATTACTTCACATTGGAGAGCAATCTTACGAATTCCTGACCGTATAGCGAGTATGCGATTGCCTGCAAGAGCTGCCTGCACTTGGGATTCCGGAAAATCTCAAACACCATGCCTCCAGGTGTTTAGGGTTGATGCCTCCCTGACCGGATGCATGCCCTTCTGGGGTTTATTTTTTTTGCCCGCGGGCAGCGAGCTCCCCCGGGCGGACTCGCTTGTCCGCTGAGATATACTCTTCGAATGTGTTCACCTCCCAACGCAGGCGGTCATCAGTACTTGGCGCGCCAGCTCTTCTCGTGTGCACTGCACTGTTACCAACGGTCACGCGATGGCCTCCCTCACCGCATCACTCTTTCCCTTGAGCTCGCTTCGCGTCGTTGAAGTAACCAGCCCGCGCGAGTGCCGCGAAATCCAAGTGTCGCAGCACACCACGTGGGCGCCAGCGTTGACTCTCCAGCAGGTCAGCTGCGCGCCGAGTCCGCACGTTTCTCTCACTGCCGTTTGTTTTTTAGCCGACTCAAAGTGGTGCCGACATCCTCGCATTCTCTCGCTGCCACGCTAAGGTGCGCGATGCTCTGCAAGACTTCTCCTCCTTGGCCTTCGTCTTGCGCTCCTAAACTGTCGCTGTGAGTGCTCCTTTCGGTATTCGAGAATTCTCAACAGCCAGGCTTCTTACCTTTCACGCCCTGCCGTTCTCTCCACTGCTTCTTCCCCCTTCCCAACCCTCTCCCCCTTCTCCCACCCCCTCGTTCACACCTTTCCCGCCCCCTCCCCCTCCGCGCACGTTCCTCTTCCCGGCTCAGGTGAGGTTGCCTTGATTCCTCTTTGCTCTCCCTTCCTCCCCATCCCTCCCCTCTCCCGATCCGTGTCCCCCTTCCCTGCCCCCTCCTCCTCAACCTCCGTTCACCAGACTCTAGAAACGAATTTGGGGACTTGTCAAGTTGCCTCTCAGTGTATCTCTCTCCCTGCCCCCCTCCAATCTGTCTCGTCCTTCCCGTTCTCTTCTCCCCCCTTTTTCCCCGTTCCTCTCTGCCCCACCACCCACCACTCTCCCCCCTCCCCCCCACGCCCGCAGTTCCTGCAGCGCGAGCAGCAGCTGGGCAGCCATGCATGGGCGCAAGCCAACCTGCGCACATGGGCCCTCATATCAGGTGCCACGTCATGCTCATGCCACGGGTGTGTGTGTGTGCATGTGCATGTGTGCTTGTACTGCATTCTCGAGACATCTCAAAGTTCACAGCGTTGCACCCATGCCTGCGCTCACCCTAACCTCCCGTGCCCCCTATGCACCTCATGCCTTTGACCCCCTCTCACCAGACGCGGATGAGTCAGAGGATCAAGTAGAGGCACGCACACCCGAGCACCAAGCACTAGCACACCCGCCCGCGCCTGTTCATGCCTCTGCCACCGCCACTGCCAGCACGAGTGCGAGTACCACAGGGGAGCACAGTGCGGCGTTCGTGTCTGTGCCATGCGGCAGCAGCAGCGGTGGGGGCGGCAGGGAGGGCAGGGTGGAGCGCAGGAGAGTGCTGGCGTCGCTCGAGACGTACCGCCAGGTGCCAGGCCCGTGTGCCGCTGTGGGGGAGTGGGGGGGGGGAGGGTGGGAGGAGGGTAGGGGATTGGGGAGAGTTTTAGAGGCGATTCTGAATCCTGGTGCGCTTCAAACATGGCATTTTGATGTGCCTCTGAGTTAGCCTTTTGCAACAGCTAAGGCATGCCACGTGTGTATCTCGAATCCCCCACGGCGCATGCCATGCCCCTGTGCTGTGCAGGACGCCCTTGTTCTCCCCGCCCTCGCTGCCTCCACCTCGCCACCACATTCCCCTCTCCATGCGCCCACATCGTCTGCAGCATCATCGGCAGCAGCAGCACCGTCAGACTCAGTGTCAAGCCCAGCATCACAAGCGCTCAAGGGGAACGCGTACGGCATTGCATCAGTGTTCACACCGCCCGCAATGAGAGGTGAGCGACAGGCACATAGCGAGTGCAGCCCCTGCGCTGCTTCCACACGACCCACATGGTTCCCTCCCACATCTCCCTGCCATTCGATTCACGATACAACCACGCTCCATCCTGCCCCTCTTCCTGCCCTAGCATCCTCACCATGAGTCCACCCTAGCATCTTCTTCTCTCGCCACCATACAACATACAGCTCCACCCCACGCCCCCTCTGCCAATCAGGTCAGGGCCTGGCCACCCACCTGTGCCGCGCCGTGCCCTCCCTGCTCGCACAGTGCGACCCCGCCGCCCTCGCTGCTGTAAGCACTGCCTGCACTGCCAGCACTAGAGGAACTACATGCACTCTAGGTAAGCAGCGTAAGCAGATCTGACAACCCACAGAATGCGTCACGCGCGCACTGCTGCAGCTCACTCACTCTACGCCAGCCCTCCCTGGCATGCTGGTACGTCTCGTTCCTCATGGGAATGAGCCCGTCAGTCCTTCCCACCGTCTGTTGCTCTGCTGCCATGACCATCCGCTCCAACTCCCCTTTCCAAGCACCGTGACCCATCTCCCCTACTCCCCTCCACCCCCCATACCCGCCTCCCCCCTCCCCCAGGTGCTGTATTCAGACGTGGGCGAGCACCTGTACGCTCGTGCAGGCTTCACCGCACCGCCACACGTGCTGCCGCCGTCAATGCATGCAATTGGGGTGCGCGGGGGAGAGGAGGGCGAGAGGCGCGTGCGGGAGAGCAGTGCGCGGGTGGAGTGGCTGAGACGAGGCGAGCAGGTGGCTGCTGCTGTGGATGGCTATGTGCACATGGTGAGGGAGGGGTGCAGGGGGGTGAAGTGGGATAGAGGGGGGTGGAGCGGGGTGGGTGAAGAGAGGGCGGAGTCACACCACTTGCTCAATGCACACACAGCACACCGTCACGCTTCTGCATCATGCCCTGTCACCTTACTCTCCCTCTTCGTATGCACTCACCCACCGGTGTATCTGCATTCCATGTTGCACGCTCTCGTTTTACCTCTCCTTCTCCCTTTCACCTCCTTCTATCACGTCCCCTCGTCTGCCCCACCCCAACCAGCTATCCCAGCGCCCTGCTCACTCCGCCTCCTTCCTCGTGCTGCCTTCAGCCGCGCAGGTGACCCCACCTCACCCACTCAACCCTGCCTTCCGTGCTTGCTTCACCGTCACCGCGCCACAAAGCACTGCCATGTGTACACCATGCTGCAGGGCTGCTCCCATGAGTGGGGATCTGAAGCACCGGTGCCTCTGTGTGGTTGTGTGCGTGTTTGTTGAGCATGAGCGGCGTGTGTGGGTGAGCATGTGTGAGTGCAGGTGGATTGGATGGTGGAGAGGGAGCATTACTGCGCGCAACTACTGGGAGTGGAGCCCTTGCCGTGGTCAGGAGCACGGTGCAATGATGCCCTCATGGTGAGTCAGGGAAGCACGCTCACACAGGGCATGTGAGGTGACTCAAATGTTACCGTGCTGACAGTGAGTGAGTGAGGTGTGATGGCCGGTTGGTGGTGCTGGAGAGTGAGCCTCGCACTTGTGCCTCACCCTCACCCTCACTTGCATTTTTTCCTCTGAGCTCTCTGCATTGCATGTCACACCGCATTCCACCTGCATTCTTCTTGCACGCGTGGGCAGGTATGGACCATGGATGTGGCGCGGCACAGCAAGTACATCAAGGTGCTGCTCTTCCACGGTCAGTCGCTCATCCCTGCCCCCTTCCACGCCCACCGCTCATCCCATTCACTCCTAACCCGTGGGTGAAAACCAGATGCCCATACAGCACAGCACCGTTCGGTTGTGCGCCAGCTGTCATGCAGCTGTCACGCAGCTGTCATGCAGCTGTCATGCAGCTGTCATGCAGCTGTCATGCAGCTGTCATGCAGCTGTCATGCAGCTGTCATGCAGCTGTCATGCAGCTGTCATGCAGCTGTCATGCAGGTCACTGTGAGTGGCTGCAACAGTCAATGCGCACGATTGGCTAAACCCTCTGTTGCGATCATCACTGGGCCTCTGTGGTGCCCTTCCAGTACCATACAGCTCACTTGCTTTCTTCCTTCCATCACCCCTCCACGTCTGCCCATCAGCCGGCAGCAACCCGACAGACACAGCAGCGGTGATGGCAGCGGCAGTGCGCGCTGCCATGCACGCACGCATCCCCTGCACCGCCCCTCCCTCAACCACCTCTGCACCATTACCGTCTGCTGGGGGTGCCGTGCTGGCATGGGGCCCTGAAGCCATCACAGGCTCATGGCCAATACAAGACCGCCACCTGGCAGAAGCAGGCGTCACGTGAGTGCTGCCTGGGGTTGTGGTTAAGTGAATGTGCATGCACCCCTCTGTTTTTTCTATCACACCTGCAGCTAGATTCACGAGTTTCACTCAACGAGGGAGGCCGTAAATGCTGTGCCTACTTCCTATCCCTTCCGCCCTTGCAATGCAATCTTCATCTCGCCTGCGCCGCTCCGTCCTCTCCCTTCCTTCCCCTCACCAGCGTGCACAGGGGGGCGCGCAGCAGCAGCATTCCCATGCTCGCCCCTCTCTCACCCGCCGTCGCTGCACCCATGTGGTATGCACGCACACTGCTGCCATGCCATGCCCCGCCCTGCCACCGTGCATCCACTCACAACTCCCCGTGCATCTCTCGCCTTCCTCCCCATGCACTGCATGCCTTTCTGCCATCACCACGGCATCAAAGCCCTGCCACAAGCAGCACCTACCACTCGTGCGTGCGTGCCACTGTATCCCCCACTGGCCCCTACTCCCCACTCCCCTGCATCATCCGCATGCCATCCCTTGGCACTCGCACAGCACCTTGTGTCGCACTCGTCTCTAGGGTCTGAGGGACGCCTGATGCATCAGACGGGTCCCCCGGCCAAAAAAAAAAAATTGTCTGATGCTGACTGGCCCATCAGATTAATCCAAAAAAGCATGTCTGAATTTTCAGCCAAACAGACAAAAAATGTCTGCTAGCGACGACCCACCATGCGTCTGAATCCATACTGCACCCGCATGCGTGTGTGTCACCTGGCAGGTCGTTCATTCCCCAGGCCATCTGGGTGTGACAGGATGGCCAAGGCTCGTCAGCCACAGAATGTACTTCAGTGCCAGCAAGAAGCTTGCTACTTATGGGCCCTGAGTGCACTTAGCCGTCGATTTAGAGCAGTTGTCATCACGCTGATGCAGCACTTTTGTGTCATTGATTTGAGGTGGAGAGTGTGCTTGTAGCAATCCATCTTGCATTGTCCTCTGCACCACGATATGCTCTGCTGCAAACCTGTTGAACTCCCACCAAGCACATTGTTAACCCTAAACGCTTGCCTTACGCACTCCGAAGGTAATGAACCAACTGTGGTCCCACCTATTGAGGAACCATCACTTGTAAGGGCTACAAGTACACTTGCACAACTAGATTCTTCCATTAAAGATACAGTACTCAACAGACCAAGCCATCAGTGCCATGCCAGCCCCTGACTGCTCCTAAACATGCCTACACACGTATACACGGCGACCAGGCGCGAGGGCGGAAGGGCGGAACCAGCAACCAGGACCGAGGAGTGAGGGAAGCACAGACGCGGGCGGGAGGCAGAGAGCGGATGGGAGAACCGACAGGGCGGCTGCAGGGCGGGCGGGGGCGTGGAATTTAGTCGACGTCTTGCATGGGCTGCGCGGTCTCCTCTGTGTACTTGCCCTTGCCCTTGTCCGCGAGGCGGCCCTTGGCCTTGCGGTCCAGCAGCGCCTTGCGATCCTTGTCCAGCTTCAGCTTCGTGATCACCACCTTGGACGGATGCACTCCCACGTTCACCGTCGCGCCTGCACACACCACATGCACGCACATCCATTGCCGCATGGCACACCACGGGGGAGCACATGGGACAGCAGCTCAGCACGCGGAGCACCACAGCACAGCGACACCAGAGCACAACGCATGGGCCCGCAGACCACACTCCATATCACAGCACAGCACAGCACAGCAGGGTACAGCACACAGCACAAGACAGCACAACAACACGTCCACAGGACGGCAGCAGCACATAGTTAAAATTCCGTGGTGGCTTACGAGCCTTGAGCGCCATCACCAGATCCCCATGCCCTTCACAACCGACCCGCAATAGAGAGCGCAGCGCCTCATAAGCCCCAATGGTGATGGGCCTAAAGACCCCGGTTTCCCAGGAACACATGCCCGCTACCACAGCAACGCGTGCCCGCTGGCGCAACAACGCAACGAAGAGCCCATAACCGAGGCGGGCGGCAGGACGTTGACTCACCGTTGACCTTTTCGCGCGTGATGCGCTCGATGTGGATGACCCACTTGCGGCGGTACACCTGCACCACCTTGCCCTCGCGCCCCTTGTACGTGCCGCGCACCACCTGCACCTCGTCGTCCTTGCGGATCGGCACCGACCGCACCTGCGGCGCGCACACCAACATCGGAAAACACCCGCATACGCAAACCACAATCACGGGGCATGGGTGAATGCGGATGGAGCCAAGACACCGTGATTGCCAGGTCCGTAGCACGACGCACGCGTTTCGCAGGAGAAGTGGGACGGCAGGGCTCGGTATACATGCACGAGCCTTGTGTAGGACACGTGCAGATAAACTAAACCAATCAGCATGCGCCGAGGACAGAAATGATGAGCGACGTGAGTGCCTGTGAAACTGCTTCCTTCGCCTCTCATCGCTGGTCCTGAGCTAGGGTTACGCCGCTTGAACACTTCCATTGCTGCTCTTTTACTACCCCCTCACTGCCTCTCACAGGCGTAGCACAAAGCAAGCGCCCAGAAATGCGTTTGCGGATCCGTTTCAGGATCCGTGAAACCCTACACCGCAACGGAGCAGTCCTCTTTCAACTTAACCTGCGCGCGCTCCCCCGCTGAAACTAAGCATTGCACGAAACGTGCGCAGGGCGCGGCGTGCGCACGGTGGGGACTCACGTTGTACTTGTTGCGCAGCTCGGACGAAAGGCTGGAGCTCATGATGATGCGGCGCTCGCTGGACGACGCCGTGAAGTGCGCCTTCCGCGACTTGCGCCGGGACGAGCTCACTCCTGCGCGGCGATGGGGAACGAGGAAACGGGAAGAATAGAGGTTGAAGGAGGAAGGGAAAAGGGGGAAGGGGGAAAAAGTGGAAGGAGGAAGGGGACGGGGAAGGGGGAAGTGGGAAAAGGAGACGGTGGAAAGAAGAAAGAGGAACTTGTACAGGCTGTGAGAAGGCGCAGGACGAGGTTGCGAGCGACGAGGGGGTATGGAAGGAGTGATAGTGATCGAGGCACAACGAGAGCAGCACGAACGGGAGCATTCATAGCGGCGCAAGAGGAAGGGCACATACGGTGCGGCTACCGGCTGCGTGCGGTGCTTAGCTGGACAATTGTCCTACCTGCTTCCGATTCTATGCCCCGAACTGACTACACGGCCAACACTAAGAGCTCCCAGCACACGTTCGAGCAGACATTACACGCATTCTTCTCAAATTACGTTGTCGGAGAGGCACGAGCGCATTCCGCGCCAACTGAGGCGACTCCTCAAACCCTAAGCTCGAACTGCCGCAGATCTAAAGTCGAAGACCTAGCAATTGCCGATCTCCTAACAGAGGCTAGACAAGATTAATTCTATACCATCTTCGCCGTGGGTCTTCCACGCGGAAACTGCACCAGCCCGCCAATCCCCTCACCCCACGACTAGACTGTTGCGACTATCGCCCACCCACAGCCATGATCTAGGTCGCTGGCTTGCCGCGCCACGCCGCGCTAATAAATCCTTTTGGCTACAGGTAAGGCGGACAAGTGATGAAACGCTCGAGGACTGCGAAACAACCAACGAACTTCGAAACGACCCGTACTCCACTCAGCGAAGCTCGCGGTAGAACAAGCGACCCAACGGAGCACCGCGAGACGACAGCAGAGCGTGGACTTACTTGGGCTGAACTTCATTGTGGCAGCTTCTCTGGGCTCCTGGGTGTTCTTGCAACGCCTTGAGTGTACGGCTGGGAGCGGCGAGGTGAAGAGAAGGAAAAGGGAGAGGCGTAGCAGAAAGAAGAGAGTAAAGAAGGTGAGCGCGGAGGGTTGGTTTGGTTTGGGCCTACGCTCCCAGACCCATTCTCCGCACCTACATTTGCCGAACCTCTCTTCCGAGCACAGCAGCCAGGGTGGTGGAGGTTTGAGAAACCCCCGAATCTGGGGTTTGCTTCATTCGGGGCTCTGCTTTCCTACCTGTGGGAGCGAAGCTATTAAGAGAAATTGAACAGCTGGATAATAAGGCATCGAGTACATCCATTATAATGTAGGTTATAGAAATAGCATATGCAGCCACCCTCAAAATGTTACTTCAGTAAGCACACATTTAGCACACTAAGTAATAATATTACTGAGATACATTACAATTCGCTTTATAATACATTTACCATAATTTGATCCCCAACAAGCATACAGTGATCCCCCCCCTCCTCCCTCCAACCGAACTCCTGAAACAATGGTGGACATTACCATATTGGATGTGAACTTGAGAGACTATAGGACAGTTCTTTCACCAAAATTGCCAGTGGAATGAGATTAGCGCACTCACCTACGGTTTGATTACCCAACAGGGCCAAATGATGACAATCAAAGCCACGTAAACTGTGGTGGTGAGGAAAAAGCATTTGGCAATCTAAAAATTGCACGAGCCAGCAGTGCAACTAGGAGGCTCTAGTTTATAACATGGAATTTTTTGAAAGTGTATACACTTTCCAAAAATATATATTGTGAACGCGCAGCTGCCTGTAACGCAGCAAGGCAAGTGCTGAACTTCATTCTGAGTATACAACGAGGGTTGGAGGCCATTAGGCCTCCACCAACGTCTTCGTTTCGGAACTTCCGTTCCACTTCATTCTCGTCCAACTACCAGCTCGTGTTCTAGTTTTCCCGTTCTCTCCTTAGCCATGCCAACTAGTTTCCACCGTGCTCAGAAAACTAGGAGGCAGAATCGCATATGCTTTTTACACATAGGATCGTGATGTTATACACATGATTTTTATCTTAATGTAGTTTACTTCTCTCCCTCTTTCTTACTAGATCGAGCTCCTAAAACAAAGTTCCAGCGCCATCAACGGCAAGAGGGTCGCGTCCGCGACTTCACCTCTGGGGCGCGATACAGGGCTCAGTAAGGCCCAGAGCAAGTGGCGAACGTGCCACTGGTGCGCCTGGGACGAGATCGTCACTGGCGCAATTGCCGAGTGACGCGCCTGGCGACGAAATCGCCACTGGTGCGCCTGGCGACGAAATCGCCACGGGCGCGCCTAGCTACGAAATCGCCATAGGCGCGCCCGTGGCGACGGAATTTCAACATTCGCGCCTCGCGACGAGCTCGCCGATGGCGTGCCTGGTGACGAGATCGTCGTAATTGGCGGTGCCTTCCAACGAAATCGCCACAAGCTTCTCAGGCGACGTAATCGCCAGACATTACGGGCAAAAATTGTAGTGACGCGCACCTATACGAAACTGCCAAGGCACGCACACCTCTTGACTAATCTTCTACCGGTATGTGTTGTCCGTTTTTTAACACATAAGCTTATGTTTCCTTGGCTTGTTTATTTTCTTGGTCGCAGCGAATGGATTGCGAGGCAGCCAACGTGGCACGAGGGCATCACTCGTGCCAATGTGGGCAAGATTGGCCACATTGTCAACCGTTGCATCTCCACGACCGTCCCCATGGGGGGAAGGGGACCGATGGTCCCGTGCTGGCCATAGGGCCGTTCCCCATGGGGGGAAGGGGACCGAGGGTCCTGTGCTGGCCATAGGGCCGTTTCCTATGGGGGGAAGGGGACCGAGGGTCCCGTGCTGGCCATAGGGCCGTTCCCCATGGGGGGAAAGGGACCGAGGGTCCCGTGCTGGCCATAGGGCCGTTCCCCATGGGGGGAAGGAGAGCTAGGGTCCTGTGCTGGCCATAGGGCGTTCCCTTCGGGGGGAAACATGATTGCGGTTGGCAAAGGGCCGCTACACATGGCATGGATGATGCTTATTGCAGGCATTAGCTCTATGTGGCTTCATGTCGCCCTCGGTTGTTATGAAAACATTGTTTTGTCCCAAACAAATTCCGGATCATTGTTTTATTTTCGTCACAAATAATGCTGGCACCTTTGCTTGGGGGACTTTGAGAAGAAACGAGGAATGAGAATGACTAAGGGAAAGTTGGGTACAAATACAAACCCTAGAAAACTGTACCCCATATGTGCTACCCCACTATAGCCTACAGTAGCTCTGTCATATAAATCTGACACACCCCCATGGGCAAAGTGGGGGAGAACAAGGGGTCACAAGACCAGTCAAGCAAAGCAAAGCAAGCTCAGGGTGGATCACAAAGTCACCACACATTCCGAGCACAAGTTCAAGGCCACAAGGCCAGTTCACATGCAGGATTACATATATACATATGGCTAGACAAGCAAGAGCAGGCGTATATATATATGCAACAGTACAAACAAGGTCAAGGGGTGAGCAAGTGAGGCAAGGTAGGCACAAGGCCCAGCTGAGTACAGAAACGCTGATGATCACAAGGCGCAAGTGCCTTGGTGAAGATATCAGCAGTGTTGGCCTGAGAGGCCACGTACGCAAGCCGCAGCTGACCACGCTGCTGTAGCTCACGAGGAAGGAAGTAGCGGAGAGCAATGTGCTTCGTTCTGTGCTCCAGTCTCTGCACTCGACACAAGGCCAGCATGGCCTTGTTGTCTACGTACAGCACTGGAGGAGAACGAGGCGGCTCTCCGAGGTCAGTCAGCAGGTAGGTGAGCCAGCGAAGCTCCTGTGCAGCCATGGCCCCGGCGTAGATCTCAGCCTCACAACTGGAGCCGAGAACAGAAGACGAGCGGGTAGCCCGCCACGAAACAGAGCCGGAACCAAGGCTGAAGGTGTAACCCTGTGACGACCGCTGCGTAGCCTGGTCGTCAGCCCAAGAAGCGTCTGCGTGCCCAGTGAGGACCACTGGACTCTGCCCTCCAAGCACAAGCCCCATGCCCGACGTACTGCACAAGTAGCGCAACACCCTCTTTGCTGCAGCCATGTGCTCTGGTCTGTGTCTCCCAGGAGCAACATAGCGTGCGAGAATGCTAAGAGGGTATGCAAGGTCAGGTCGTGTGCAGGTCATCAGGTACATGAGGCAGCCAACAAGCTCTGGGTACGGGCCACTCGACTCTACGGACTCATCCGAAGGCAGAGCTGAGAGCGAGTGGCGAGTAGGCAGAGGAGTGGCCTGAGGCGAGGAGTACGTGAAGCCGAAGCGCTGAAGGACCTGCTGCACCATGTGTGACTGAGTCAGGGTAATGGTGCGGCGTGCTCTGTCCCGGGTGATCTGCAAGCCAAGGTAGCTGCGCAGTTCACCCAGGTCTATGCACGTGTGTCTCTTCTGCAGCTCGGACTTCACGTGGGCGAGTCCAGCAGTGTCAGCAGTGGCAAAGACCAAGTCGTCGACGTACACGAGGATGTAGAACGGCGGCAAAGAGGTGTCGGTGCGCAGAAACAGCAACGGGTCGGCAGTAGAAGGAGCAAACCCAAGAGCCGCAAGTGTAGTCCTCAGTGTGTCGTGCCACTCACGGGGCGCCTGGCGGAGACCGTAGACTGGCCGCCGGAGGCTCCACTGGGTACCAGGGGGAAACGACCCAGTGAAGCCAGGTGGGCGGCGCAGCCAGATCTCCTCGTGCAGGCTGCCCTGCAGGAAAGCTGTGCTGAAGTCAAGAGAGTGAAGCTCGTAGTCGCGCTGAGCGGCTATGTGCAGCAGCACCCGAAGAGTGGTCATCTTCGGGGTGGGAGAGAAGGTCTGAAAGTAGTCAACTCCCTGCCGCTGACTGAAGCCTCGAGCCACGTAACGCGCCTTGAAGACAGGCGGAGAACCCGGTGGCCGCTTCACCCTGAAAATCCACATGCCACTGACGATGTTCGCCCCAGGTGGGGGAACCTCGTCGACGTAGGTGCCTGTGGACTTCCAGGAAGCCATCTCTGCGTCCATGGCTGACTGCCACTGTGAGGAGTAGGGACCCTCGATCGCCTCAGCGTACGATCGAGGAGTCGGGATGTCTGGTGCATCCGGGTCTCCCTCAGGGGCAATCAGCGTGGACACGAGATGAGGCAAAGCAGCAGCAAAGCACTGGAACTCCTCCTGCCTGTCCTCAAGGACGTCCGTGCTAAGAGCACACTCACCCCCGACGGACGGAGGACAGACAGACTCAGACTCAGCAACAAGATTAGCAGCGTAGTCTAGACGACAGCGAGCAGCAAAGTCGACAAGCTCAGCAACCAAGGCAGACGCAGCAGCGGACTCAAAGGAAGGGTCAGTGACAACAGTAGCAAGGAGACGCGTGACAGTAGGACTGGCAGCACGAAGAGAGTCCGACTCCGGGTCGGGAAGAGCAGGAAGAGAGGACTCAGGAGGAGAAGGCAAAGGGGCACGCAGAGGAGCAGTGGACGGACGCAAAGACATCCGGTGCGTGCCAGGGACAGGAGGAGGACGCTGACGCGAACCACGACCACTAGCGCGAGCAGTACGGACAGGCGACGAAGGACGCGACGCAGGCTCACGACGCTCAGCAAGACCTCCAGTAGGACCAGTGTAGGGAGAAGGAGCGGGCAGTGGGGAGGCCGGCTGTAACTGTAACTGTGACAGGACAGGCTGTGGACACTCTAAGGGAGGAGGAGGACCAGTAGAAGGCGGGAGACCAAGAACCTGCTGAAGGAGCGGAACGAAGTACGGCCGAGGCCGCGCGGCGACTCCAGACACGGCAGGGACAGCACCAGTACCCCCAGCGGCAGCACCAGCGCCAGCAGCACCTCCAGCTCCAGTACCTCCAGCAGCACCAGGAGCACCCCCAGCAGGACCGCCTCCAGGACCGACAGCAGTAGCCTCAGCGTCAACACCCTCAGCAGCTCCAGCTCCAGTCGTACCCGTAGGCCCAGCAGCTCCAGTA